ACCCAAAACTTAAACTCACAAAGCTCCTCCATGTTTCCGATATATTTGTGAACTGCAGTTGCAGAAGTGAGAGTAACACGGTTCCTTTTTTTTTTTTTCAATCCTGCAGATGCAGCATCCCTCTATATGCTGGGCAGTGGTGATGTTCAGCTGTATGAGGTCAAGGCATTTGAAGAAGACTTTCACTCCTGGTTTGTTGGCCAGACTGTACAAAGAGGTGGGTCTCGCATTCCTCATTATGCCGTAAACTCTGAATCAGCTTTATCACAGTTACAAACCCAGTTACAAAGTTGGCTCGTTTTACGTTTAATCGCCATCTGCAGTATTTGCCAAATTAAATAGTTTTGGACTCAGCGCAGACAGCAGCTTAATTAAACTAACAGATTCACTGAAGTGATGTCATCTGTTCAGAAAGTGCTGTTGTGTTGGTTCTAAACACTGACAGAAGCACTGAACATCATCTCCCTATATACAGTGTTTCTATGTTATGACACCATATGACAAGCGACACTGACAAAGAGGAACAACTCAAACAAATTACAACTAACTATCAGATCTGATTGACAAAGAGGTTCACATTCTACAAACTGGAATGAAATCTTATATGAAATTCTGATATATTGGTTATTACAAAATATTGGTGAAATTATTTCAAAGTGTTAATAAAGATAAGATAGTTTTTCAATGTTTACCTTTCTGATGACATGTTAAGCATGTGTCTTGTCTTAAATGTTATCTCTCCCTCTCTCTCTTTTTTTTTTTTGTAAACAGATGGGAGACTTATTTTTGTGACACCAATGGATCCCCTCTATCTCATTTTGCCATATTTGATTAAATCTGGCAAAGAGGTAAGAAACAGAAGTGTTACAGCTGTTGTTTCAGCGATACTTTCATAGCGGGGTACCACTCTGTCAGAGTGAAGCATTTGATTCCCACCTGAGCCTGAGTTCCAGCCTTTGTTAAAACTTCATGTATAACTTATTTTAAATACTAGTATTTGTAAATATACTGTAAATTAGCTATATTTTGTGGCTCCAACATGAGTAAATGTTAATCTCAGTCAGCTGCAGGAAAGTGAAAAGTTAGTAGCGCACATGTTAATATAGACTTACTTACTTGTGATTTAAAAAAAGAAGTAAATTACACAAATGTGTGTTGCTGAACTCCATTGTTATATCACTGCTTCTAATAAATTTCACCCAACACCTATTTATTCCCAGTGGCCCAATGCAGCCTTTGTTTTAACCCCTTCAAACCTTAGATGCCTTCTAAACACAGGCCGAGCACACACATATATTGAATCAGGTCTTATTGGTTTTATAGAAGTAGTCGTACGTTTTCAAATATATTGTTTGCTTTTTATTCAGCACTAAATCTGATCAATAGTTATATCTCAGGTGATGTTTTTCTCTGTGTTTAACTTGGTTTGGCATAACTATGTGAGTGTGGAGGAGTATCAAGCTTGGCTGTTATAAAGATATAAAATATGACAAATGTTAGAATGACACATCATAGTTTATTTGTTTGAAAATCTTCATTTCCAACAACTCTCAGGAGACACGCGCTTCTTCTCGAGATTACAATCGTATAGGATAGGTTAAAAATCCCCTTCTTTTTAAGGGTTGATTAAACCTTGATTAAGTTAAAGGTTAATTTTAAAAATTGGTTAGGGAAAAAAAACAGTCTTACATTATACTATGAGCTGAATATACACTGACTGTATAATTACTGTCATACCACAATACAGTCTGCATTAGTCAAACTCTACGGTACACTAAAGTGCAGAACAGTCCATCAAAAAATGTTCAGCAGAATTAACTGTGCATTGAATATATGTATAATTTATACACGGGAAGGCAGCGTACACTCTCATTAAAATCACATTACCTGTTTTATCTTTTATGTATTAATGTTACCTGCTGCTCAGGGCAAGTTCCAGCCTGTGGATCAAGTTGTTATGGATGAGGAATTCCCAGCGTGCTCGAGGCTGCTCAGCTGCACACGTTCCCTGACCTCTTTGCACCACATTGCTGAGGAAAAAGGTGAACTTTATTTTTTTTTTTGAAGTTAGTATCCCTCAGCTTCAAGGTTAAACTTAAATGCCCTTTTTGAAATGTTGTGCTTCGTGCTTCAAGAGGTGGGAGGCCTGAAGTTTCATCGATACAGTCAAGAGAGGACCATGAACTGGTTGAAGAAAAAGGTACTCATTAAATCATTTCATATAAAATTCAAACACATCTTTTTATGCTGATCCGAGGACAGTGTGAGATATTTTAACTGTGTTGCAACACAAAATATCAGGGAAACTGGGTTCATGTGAAAATGTGAAAATGCATCCTTGTTTTTTGCATAGTGGAAATGTATCGTCTTTTTTTTTTTCTTTTTGCAGGTGGAGAGGACGGTTACTGCCCTCAAGAAGAGAAATATCTCTGTGGGAGAAGGAGTGAAATCCGCAACATTTATCAGAGTCAAGCCAGATGCAGACAGCCATGAAGGTAGCTGGTTTTGACCTCAGACCACTGCATTGTTTAAGACATTAGAACTCTGAAATTTCCACGTCACCCTTCTATGAAAAGACAAGTTTCATTTTTGTCCCAGCATTTTTCCAACTTGGTTTTTGCAGCAGATAGGATGTCGACCAATAGATGGCAGTAGTGGTGTGTAGTATTTTTACTATAGGTTAATGATAAATCCCTGAAACATCTCCCCAACTTTCAGTTTGACTTTTAAATCACTCAACTATAAACTGTAGCAATATTTATGTGGGACCGTATTGGTTATCACTGTCATTCCCTCATCTCTATGATACAGAGGACTACCTACGCTATGCTCATGGGCTGATATCAGAGTACATCAGTGAAGACCTGAGCAAAGCCCTCCTCAAGCACTTGGGGTAAGTAAATGTTAATTAACATCATAACCATTATTAGTGCTCAGTCATAGCAGCACTCCAGATCAAGCAGGCCTGTTACTATGCTCCACAGATTACCAGAACTCACAAGCCCAAAGGAGACAGAACCTCCTTCCAAGGTATGTTGGCCTTTATGAATAAAGCTGCTGTAGCACTTTCTCTCAGTTCTGCATGCTGCCGAAGCCGCCGTGCACTTTCCACGTAGTCTTCCACCTCACTCTAGTTGCATGATTTCAAGGGGAAATTATCCTCAGTCACCGCTTGTGTGGTTTACAAAGGCTGCAGTGTGAGGTCGTCACAGCTAGCAGTGGTGTTTCAGTGGAAAGAACAAAAGTTTGGTGCTGTTTGTCATGAAAAGCATTTCTTACTTCCTCGTTTGGCAGAAGCGGAAACTTTCAGACCAGCCGGTGGAGGCTGAAGAAGACTACACCAAATTCAACAGTGCAGACTTTGCGCGGAAAGTGAGTGTATGCGGAGCAGTCTGCCTGAATAGATTAAACAGTTGTCGGAGGAATCGGTAGCTTTGCTGATCATTTCTTGTCAGTGTCTCAGCATGACCAAAGTGATCATTTGTTTGCTTTTATTCCTGGAGTATTTTTTTTTAATTCCAGTGTTTATTGTAGTTTTTTATTTGCTGGGTGCTTTCCTTAAGCTTTCTCTGTAAAGTGTACATATGGGCCAGTGGGGCTCACCTTGTGGAAACATGTTTTTTTTCCTCACATTGAATTGAAGTTCATGATATGTAATGAATTCTCTGCTGTCTCTGTGCAAGGTCATTGAGTTATATTGATTTTTTTTTTCCTTCCCTATTTCAGCCACCCAAAAAGATGACGGCAGCTCAGAAAACTCTGGCTAAGGTGGACAAGACGGGCATGAAGCCAATGTCATCCTTCTTCAGCCCCAAGGTCAAAGCAGAAAAGAAATGAATGTTTTATAGATTCTCATTTGTATACGACATATTTGTAATAAAGAAAAGAAAACGTATTTGACATAGTATTTTCATTTCAAATGAGGGGAAAGGTATAGTGGCTAGAAGTTTTGCATTATTTTGTTGACCTGAAGAATAATACAGTATCTTAAAATCAGAACACTAAGGCTAGGTATTATTTTTAGATGCTAGTATTTATAATTTTACTCAAGCAAAGGCTCTGAATTCTTCCTTTAACACGACCAAAATCTCAAACTTTTTAAAAGTCCTTCCCTCAGTAGTATCTAAGTTTTCCTGATGTTGCAGGCACCTATAAACTATTCTTTCATTCCTATTATATCATACATTTCACATCTGAAAACCAGAGCATAGAAAACCAGAAGTCTCGATTTTGATGGATACTGTAAAGGTGAGGTCAGGTTGAGGAATTTGTTGTTTTGACCCTTCGCGTTTAAGACCATTTCAACCTTAGAGTACAATAAGTTCAGCTGGTCTTCCGCTATTCAGACGGCTCAGCACTTTGACTTTACCTCGGCGAACCTCACTTAAATGAAACAGAGATTCATGCAAGTACTCTTTGACTTTCAGCTTGAAAGGAGCCATTGTTGCATTTTACAGTTTGCTTTGATACTTCAGAGGGATGCAGTCTCTCCTCAGGTCTGAACCATAAACTGTGCTCGTCAAAATTCCATATCCATCACAATATTGAACGCTTCTCTTATGTGGTTCAGTTCAAAAGCCCCTTTGAAAGAAATTCTATTAACAGATAGGTCAAAGTAATCTTTAGATGTTGGAAGAAATTAATTTTTATTTCAGACTATGTCGCAAAAACCATCCAAGCTGTATTCCTCTGTAAAGTGGCGTCCTATTGATATATGTCTGACATCAGCTGAGATGAATGTACGTTTCTTAAGAAAAACAAGTGATACTGAATAAGCCTTCTATGAATTCTCTGAAAAAGTCATAGCAGGAAAAGCACAGGTGTAAATTATAAAATTAGCGATGGCTAAATCCATTTAGCCCCTTCAGTTTCAGGGTCCTGGTGTTGAGCAGGTTGGGTCACTGTCACAGTTTATAAAGACTGGGCTATTATGTGTTTCTTTAAATGACAAGTCAAAATTTCTGCTGATAAATTGGCCCATTTTGAACCCGTAACTAATACATTTATCTCACCAGCTGGCCAGATTTTAGTGCATTGCCTTCATTCATATGAAATGTTTTAATGTCATTATTAATTGTCTGGACAGATTTTTTTTGCAGAGCATGGCGTCTGACCAAACAAATTAGGCTGAGCTCTGTGTCAGCGGTGTGGCAGTGCTGCAAGGTTTCAAATGTCCATCAAGCTTCACTGCTTTTTTAATTTGGGTTTGAAGCGCAGAGTCTGGAATGCACTCTCCACCACTTTGGGCAGGTGGATCGGGTTCCTCTGAAGTCGCAGTCTGCTGCTCGTGGACCCGCTCTGCTTTTTCTTCACCGGGGCGCGTTCGTTGGCACAGTCGTGAACCGCTCTCTGCTTGGAGTCGTCCGCGACCCGAGGAACCCGCAGGACCCAGTTAGAGTGGAGGTCGTGTTCGGCTGAGCTGGAGGCCACTGCGGGAGGGAAGAACATACGGCGAGAACCTTAGATGAGGCTGAAAGCGGTTAGTGGTGTTCACTCCTGGACCTGAAGGCCCAGAACGTCTCTGGCTTTAAGTCTGCGCAGCAACAGCTGAAATGAGACAAAGTAGCTGGTATAGGAAAATCACCTGGCCCTGAAGAGCTTTGTCAGTAATTGTATCTCGCAGATTATGTCTGTGGGTCTAATTAATACATTAACAATGGCTGCATTCAATTCAGGTGTGCCATTCAGGTCTCTGGCCTTGATGCATGCTGAGCCCTGATTAGCATTGTCACTTACACCAGTGCTGTTGTCGCAAAGGCAAACCAAACTGCTCCTGGGAGTATGTATATATAAATATTCTTTGCAAAGATAAAACTACTAAAATATCAAAGTTTTCATATCCCATCACAAGTAATTTCATTACATTTATAGAAGCAATTGCAGCTAAACTACATAAGCATCACAAGAAAACGACTGACCTCTTGTATAGTGTTAGGAGGTATTGGTAAATAAGGCCTTTATTTTACTATATTGCTACAAACAACAACTAGCACCATTATACACTTTGGGTGAAAATAATAATATATGAAAATAGTAATGAGGAAGCTGACATATAAGTGATAAAAAGCCTGATTCTCTTTTAAATCCAGCAGTATAAAGAACTATTTTTAATAATTATTGTGGTAGATCGGGTATTTGCTCAGACTGAAAATGAATTTGCACCATTAATAGAGTTTTTGACTTAATGTGATAAAGCTGATGTGTCCTGTCTTGACAGGTGCAACAAAACTGATTTAAAAAAGTATTCAGGCTAGTGCGTGTACACACCAACACAGGTAAACAGGACGATTAGTGAGAACACCTGCAGATGAATGGGGGTACAAGTGCAGTACTTGAGTGAATGCACTGAGTAACTTTGCACATCAAAAACTGACATCAACCATTTCAAAACTTATCACAGACCTTGATTCATTTATGCATATTTTTAATTAGGCTGCACACAGAGCGTTAAAGTACTCGTAATGCAGTTGGCCACTTTATGATTCAGTTGGAATTATTGATGCCTTAATGTGCAATCAACATTTTGAATGTAGCTTGTCCACATGGGGGCTAATGCCACACGTTTTTAAAAAAAAAAAATGTTTCATATGTAAAATCTGAATGAAAATCTCTAGAACTCCTCATAACTGGAGCTTTTATATTCATCTAGTGGGGTAAAGCAGCATAATAGGTACTCAAACACAGCAGTGCAAGAAGTGACTCATGACTAATCCCAGAGATTGAAAGAGTATTGAAATCCTTAAGTACAACACCACAATGCAGAAATACACCTACACAAAGTAAAACTCTGTATTTAAACATTCACTTAAGTAGAAAATAAGTGTGGCAGATGAACAGTCCCAGCAGTTCTTATACTTTTATACATTATATCATTGGTTCATTCATTCATCATTGTTATAAATAACACATGTAATCTGATTGGCTTATTATACGTGATCCAGTATGTCATAGTTCTGAAACCAGAGCTATATTTGGTTATACTAACCTACTTTTGTTTTTAACTAAGATTTAATGTTTTAAACATTACAACAAATCATTTTAAATTGTATTTTTATTTCTACACACACAAAAAGTTTGCAAACATTTTTTTTAGCACCTGGGCCACTCCACAAACAAACAGCAACAAAAAAACTGAATTACATGTAAGTAAAATATTTCAAACCTTTTTTTTTCATTTTAATTTAGATGATATCCAAAATCCATTACTATTAATATAATATTTTGAGTTTGAGTAGGAAACATTTTTGTTATGAAAACATCTGTAATTATACAAAATATCTTTTGTTAAAAATCAACAGTTTCATCTATTAAAGAAACAGGAAATATTTTTGAAATTGCATACATTTCCAAAAAATTATAACTTTATCAATATTCAAAGTTATACGTTTTTAATGTTCTTTTTCACTGGATGTAAAAGTTTTTGTAAATTTAATTGGCAATATTTTCATTCATTCAAAATTTCTATACAAATTTACAAAAAAAATGTAAAAAAAACCAAAACAAAACAAAGGTAGCATTTCTGAAATTCACTTTTTTCAGTAAATCAAACACAAAACAGAACAGACAAGCTGGCTTAATCTCCAAGAACTATTTTAGCTCCACTGTTATTTGCATCCACAGTGTTGGATGACCTCACTGAATCCCAACGTCATCACAGTTAAATACAGGTGTTTCAGACTCACCTATGAAATCCACGTCTGCGTGTCCATCGTCCATGTAAGGTTTGCGCTGAGGTTCACTGTCGCAGCTGGCGATAACTTCATCAAAGAACTGCAGCGTGTCCTCCTCGCTGGGGACCGGAGGGGCTGAGGGTTTAGCTCTCGGTATCTGTGGTTAAAAAGAGATAACATTTGTCTCTGATATTTCCTTCCACACGTTCAAGGAAAGATGATTTAAGCTTACCGGTTCTTGCTTTTTGGGCGGCGGGGGCGCAGGCTTCTTCTTGGAGGACACTGTGGCCTTGGCGTCGCTGCTTTTCAAGTCACTCACGCTCTTTGTGTACTGCCTCCTCAGAGCCACGAGTGCTTCCAGGTACTCGAGGCAGTTCTGGTTCTGTGAGTACAGCCATATCCTGTCCTCTTGTCTCTGATAGTAGTACAAGGTTGACTCGATGCTCACTGTGCTCTTGCTGCGTTTTAACGTGGATCCCCCGACCGTCTGAGTCCTCTCTCCCACCACCAGCATGGAGGTGCTGCGGACCAGGCGGACGGTGCAGGCGTTGTGGTAGTCCTCCTCGGCCTGAATCCCACCGCCATCCCGACCTCTGTTACCTTGCTGGTTGGGACGGAACACATTGTTGATCTTCCTAAACATCCCTCTAAATGCTCATGGTTACAGACTTGCCTTTAGATTCCTTTTTCTCTCTGTGTGTGGCTGCCATCCATGTGTGAAGATCATGAACAAATAATCAGCTGTTCACAGGGTCTCGTCGCTGTCCAGGGTGCTGAAATGGCCCTGTTGTGGTCATAAAAGCAAAAGCAGATCTGAGGCAGGTGTCTAACCTGATCTCAGCGTGTCTTTAATGTTATCGGATGTTGCTCAGCAACATTGCTGTAGCAACGGGTGGGTAACTCTACACTTTGTGCTACCATTACTACACAGCTGCAGTCCTGTGTCAGATAACCCACAGGAGACAAAATGCACAAAATAACAACCAACTTTGGAGCAAACACTTTACCTTTATAGTTTTGCTGACTATAGGTGTGAATCCACCTGTTTATAATAATCCTGATAATGATAAATTATCATAGGAATATATTATAGGCCCAACTGGGGTGGACGTTTCTTTCTTTCTTTCTTTCTTTCTTTTTCAATTTTAAATGTTATTAAATGAAAAAACACTGAATCTCTGAACGACCAATTCAGTTGTTTAAATGCCCTAGATGTTGTAACAAACTCCAGGATTCATATGATGTTGACTCATGTCTAAGGTTTCCTCGTCTAATCAATTATAAAGCACTCTCTCTCGTGTTTCATGTGCTGCTATTGTTGGGCCTCCCCGTCACAAGCAGACGAAAGCTAAAGAAAAGAGTCTCAACTGAAGCGAGTCATAAATGCAGACAAGGTGCTTTCATCTCGAGGGGGAGAGAAAAAAAAATCCCAGCCATAAATACAGTCTGAAACTTTCCATCCCTTTCACAACATAACTGATTTAGACTTCTCAAACTTCAGTTTAAAGCTATTACAGAGGAGCTCAAATCAAGTGAGGGAGGAAGAAAAAAAACAAAACACAATTGGTAAAAATGAAGTTATATTTCAAGGTCTGCAGACTCAGGTGACTTAACATTTACATGCTGAAGGGTAGGCAAAGTTCCAAGGAGGAAATGATGACTTGTGGTCGTGAAGTCACACTTCTGCTTTGCTGCAGACACACGACAGGAGGAGTGAAGCTCAAAGCTCTAAACAACAATCAGTCGACTACAAAGGTGCATTTTTAACCCACCCTCACAGACAGGTAACAGTCTTCAGTGTGACTATCAGAAAACGAAAACAGGAATCAGCATCTCTCTGTGTTTCTGTTTTCAGATATGTCTTTAAAATCATTTTTAATATGACTTTCTTTTCTGCTTTTACCTTAACCTCAATCGCACACCTGTTTCTTTTACATAGAAATGAAACCTGGGTGGGTTTCCTTTTACAGCTGCATGTCATTCAGCATCAGCCACTTCGCTTCCCAAGAAGAAAATCTAATGCAGAGGTAAGTGCATCTCACTTAGGTTTGTAAAAATAAATATAAATTTCATAATTAAGAGCGTAATGCACCAGCCTGTCTGTAATAAGTTAAAATAAGATGTTAATTGCTATGATCGCATTAAGTTTGCAGGAGTGGTTTTGAAGAGAGTCTGGCATTCCCACTTCCTCTTGTGGTGCTATAAAACAACAATCAGCACATGAATGCTCGCTCATTTATACAGCTCTTGAAAACACAACACTCTGTAGACTCTTTGATAGAAAATGCAGTGTTCTTAAGAAGGAGATTTGATACCCGAATACAAGTTGTCTGCTGATTTGGAGACTCTTATTCTGGTTGAAGGTAGGAAAGTGTTTATTAAAGATGAATATATTTGTCTTTATAATTGTTAGATGAGGTAACCTCCCTTGTATTGACATTTTATTTGTTTGTAGGGTGAATATATGACCTCCATATGCACAGAAATTATATCAAACTCAGCTGAAAGTTTAGAATTTCTGAACATTTTGTGCTGCTTTTCTGCCTTTATTCGAATAAATGTTACATTTTATGTATTTAACACATAAGAAAGGGTGCAGTGAATGGAACTAGTCCATGCTGTATGTGCTTTCAAATACAAAATAAAAATTGAATGGATAATTACCTTCATGGTAACAGTTGCATTTTCATTTATCTCCTTCAATTCATCTGCCTCCTCTCTCTCCTGCAGCCATGCTTTGTGAAGGCAGATTGCTGAGCATGACCTACAGTGAATTGGAAGAGCTGGACTCCCTCCCTCCTCAGAAGGCTCTCCAGAGTGCTTATGGGCTACCGAGAGCAGCTGCTACCCTCATACCGAGCTCGGCCAGACGCACTCCGCTCGTTCATCACGGCTCCCCGGAGCAGACAGGTAGCGCAGACAACAGAAGTGCTTCAGCGGACTTGTACATTTCTCCGTTGCAGTCCTTAGATCTCCAGAGAGCCCACGCCGCCAGACAGATCTCTCCAGAGATAGAGATCCCGGCCCAGGATCGCTCAGGTGGTGATGCCCCATTCTTGGTTCCCTCCTTCTGCCAGAGCATCTGTCAAAACTACAGCGACCTCCACATTGGGGGTGACCAGGTGCTGCCTCTCTCGACCAATGACGGCGAGCTGAGGGTCTGCACCGATGCCCAGGCGGTCGGCCCCTTCCTCCAGTCCTGTGACGTCCCGCCGGCTGTGGAGGATTCTCTCCTAGGACAAGCGTGTCAGGGCGGGCTGCCGTATCCGCAGAGGGGAGGCTCGAATCGGTGGAGGCTGGGGAGTGGTCGTGATCGGAGCTTTTTGCTTCAGGGGCGCGAAGGTCCGTTCTCCAACTCCCTTCTAAATCACTACCTGGAGCAGAAGCTCTTGGATCTGTACCAGCAATACATGATGGAGAACATGGCCAGGGGAGGGGCCCCTGGTTCCGAGTCTGACGGAGGCCCCATCTGCCCTCTGCTGGGTTCGGAGCTGGTCCTGACGAGCCTGGACCAGATCACTTTGCAGCTCAGCCGGGAAGGAAACCTGGAGGCCGGCCTGGCCAAAGACATGGTCCTGAGCTGCCTGCTGCGGGTGGCTGGTGACATGCAGTCAAGTGAGATCAGCACTCCCTTTCTGCAGATTTCAAGTGAGGCATCCAGGGAGCAGCTCACAGAGAATAAAGAGGAGTAACCCCGGTGTCAAGGAACTCTCTTATCCAATTCTCCCTTTCATTTTAGTTGAACGCCAAAAAATAAAATGGAACTGACAACTGCATTTTATTATTTTGTTCTTTTATTAGCCGTTGAGAGGATGTTGAGAGCAAGTTCTGCGATCATTAATTACAAGGAGAATGTGCTGTATTTATGAGTTTTAATTTGCAGTCTTACCACTAGCGTGTGTGTGTTGTACTGTTTTTTGCAGCTTTCCCTTTTCTGAAAGGACAATAAAGACAGGAACTGACAACTGAAACTGATATTTCCTCTTTTTCTTCATTTTTAACAAAACAACATATCTTTGACAACATCAGCTCCTTGAATAGCAACTAATATTTTCTTGTGGTTGCTTATCATTTATTTATCTATTGGAAATCTCTCTTGATAGTGAAGGAAAACATGATTTAAAGTAACAGAATAAAATCATGCTGGTAAGGTCAAAGTTCCCCTTCACTCAAAAATGTGTTATTCTTATTGTTATTTAACTTGGGTGCGTGACCTTCGCTGTGCAGAATGATGTATAACGTTGTGCAGAAAGTGTGGATGCTTTCAACAGTCTGTATTTAATGTTGTAGGCCTTCACCTATAAATGTGCACCGTCTCTCCTCAGTGTCTTGCTTTTTCATGGTAGGTATTATGTTTCGAGCATCTTGGAGAATTTGCTGCATTTCTTCGTCTGTGTGCAGACAATTCCATCTGTTGCAGGACTCCTTGTTCTTCTTGTGGCTGAATGCCATCCTTTATGACTCTGGCTGGAGGTTTAGGGTTGATGTGCTGCGTGAAAGGTAAGAATCTAAACACATTATGAGCTTAAAACCTACGAGGCAGTACATGCAGGGTATGGAGGCTCATTGTAGTGGCTCTTATGTAAGTTCCAGTTCACATAGGTTAAAAATGAACTTCTCAGTGAAGTAAATCTTCAGTGTTTTAAACTGAAATGTCAACGTATTTATGGATTCTGGAGGCAGAAAGATTAGATTGTATGTATGGAATATCTGAAACAGACACAAGTGTTTTTATACCTTGTGTGCCTGAAACATTTAACCTCGCAAATTCAAACTTTATCATTTACTCCCTCAATAACAATAAGGATCGAGGTTGACTTTCTGACAAAGTCTGCAGTTTGATAAACAGTCACAAGGGGGAAGCATTATCACCTATTAACCCTGACGACTTTGACACACACCCTCTCCCCGTCTATTTATTTCATTCCTCCTCACCTTCTCCCTCGCCCATCATCCATCCACCCGCCTCCTATCATCTGTTACTCCATGACGTCACCGGGACCGGCTTGTAAATCTGCAATGCCAAATTGGCCATTGTGTTTGTGATACCGGTGTACGCTTGAGATAAGGATATCTACATGGCATGATTTCTGCAGGAGAAAATATAGCACAAACGAGACAATCCGCAGGGCTGCAAACTGGCGCATTTGCACATGAAAAGTCACATTTATTTTTCACCTCCCCCCCTTTTAAAGTGCTTTGAAAGACCTGCAACTCCATTCCAGCTCAGAGTAGCCGTGGCCTTCTGAGCCAGTGTTTGATCAGCTTCCTTGTTTCCTGTCCAAACAGAGAGCCACAGGAGGAAACTGTGTTTACCGAGCTGAGTGCCGCAGTCGGAGCCCTGTGAAGTCTCAAGGCCGCAAAGACACATGTTTGGTGTTTCTGCTTCTATCCGGACTGAACATTCCAGGTACACGTTAAAGGGGAACCAAGTCCTTCTAGACCTAAAGAGAAAATGCTCACATATAAATATAACTCAGGTCCAGCAGCGTGAGCACATTCAAATGAACTGATTTCCACAAACCTTGGAAAAAAAATGTAAAACAGACCCATTGTTCCAGCTGGAGGTTAAGAATTGTTTAAAGGGCTGAAGGTAGTGCTTCCTACAGCGGTGTCTCTAACAGACTTCTCTTTCTTCACAAATCCTCAACTTCACCAAATTAGCCAAATTATGCAAATTGTTTTCCTTCTCAACAGATTTACAAAATATCTCGCTGTGTTTTACTTATTTGTGGGCAAATAAAATATAAATAGAAGGGCAAAGAGTTTAAAAATTTTGGTAATTAGTAGTGTTTTTTTTTCTCTTTAAGGAAAAGAACGGTTAAGGTCAAGTAATGAAGGAGAAGCCATGAAATAAGAGCAGGGACAGAGACGGATGAAACGAACGGCAAGCTGGAGTGATTTAAAAAATGGGAGGGAAAAAAAAAAAAACACATTTCTCTCATAGTCTAGCAATGAAACTAACAGGGAGGTTGAAGTGTTGGAGTGTCTTTCAGAGGTTCATAAAGTAATTTCCTTGTCACAAAGAGCTTTTAACATGGAGGGCAGTAGAGGCAAGGCCACAAGATTTCATATCAAAACCAAGGTCCCAGATACACTCTCACTATTGTGGCTTTAATGCCTGTAGCACTCTGTGGCTTGCCTTTATTTAAAAAAGCTTTTACTATGTAGCCTTGTTAATTGGAACAGTCATGTATGTTTACTTATATTTCTTTTTCTTTTTGTGACTGTGATTAAAAAACTTCTATCACAATTTGTCAGAGCCTATTGATAGTCAAGAGGCTTTGGGCTCTTTGCAGAGTTGGACATGGATACACACACACACACATGCACAGATAAACACATATGCAGTCACACACACTTCCAGTTATTCCACACTTTTTTGCATTGGAGAAATGCAGTCCTCACTAAATCCCCCCTCACATATAAATACATATGCGGAAGTGGAACAGATGGGGAGCAGAGTACTTAATTCAATTAACATTTGTTCAGAAGCTGAATTCTTTCTCCTATTTTCATGGATGGCCTTGAGTGAATGCCCTTTTTTTTTATTTTTTTTATTTTTTACCCGGATTACATCTACTAGAGTGACCTAATGTTCAAGTGGTAGCATGCTGGAACATTTAATGACAGCCCTGCTCTGTATCTGGCTGATTGACACTGGGACACATCGGTGGTGGAACAGGAGAACACACATTTCCCGGTCAGTTAGCTGCTCAAGGTTGCAGGGAGCCTGCAGCGGCGCTGGTGACCTTGGTTAAGCTACAGCAGACAGAGAGAGACCTTGAGAGACAGCGGTGCAGCAGGATCTGGCTCTCAAAGAGCTGGGAAACATAATGTGTTCATGTTTGACTATATATCATAGAACACAGTACCCACGTGAATGTGGATAGTAACTGGCTGGAAAAACAGATTTTATCCATATGTTCTTCTTTTACCAGACTTTACTCTGTATTCAGCTGTGACACTCATTCATGGAATACTAATGATTTACCTCATCTGCCATATAAACTGATTGAGAAAAAATTTTCATGAAACTACAATAGTTAAGTTTTTGAAATAAGTTCTCCTTGAAGTTGTACTTTTTAAACCGTATCAGGTTCTCATGGTCGTTTTCGTTGTGAATGAATTCAGCAGTCGGGATTTTCTTTTGATTTTGTGTTAAGGTTCAAAGTTTGGAAGTCCACGGTGTAATTTAACAGCCTCGTTATAAAATCAGTCCTGAATCTGCTCTACATCGCTGTCAATGTGATTAGAAATATAAGCAGCAGCTCCTCCTCAGGTCAGGTGAGACAAAAAGATTTAAAAAAATGAAGCACAACGGATTCAAATTCAACTTTACCCAGTCTGCAATCAAAACACTTGCTATTCTAAATGTTGTTGCTCTCTGTACTACGTACGTAATTCAACACTTATATGTTTCAGTACAATTTGTATAATATATGTACATATACTTGCACTTGCATCTCCTATATTGGTTTAGTTTAAAAAAAAAAAAAAAAAAGAAAGTTAACTACACCTCCATATACAATGTATTTGAATAAAAAGTGAAAAATGTATACGGTTTCAGCATTTTGATGCAGATAATGAGCCTTGCGAGTTAGACATGCCTCACACGTATATGAACTCCAGCGCCCTGTCTAACAGTGAAATATGAAAGAGGCTCATATGGAAATGTATAGGAAAGAGAGCTTAGCCTTTGAAAATGAAATGTTTAGTGAAAAATATTCTTCGATTGCTTCATAATAAAAGGCAACTAAAGCAATACAGAAGCTAAAGGTCTACATTTTTTGAGTACTTACTGCCGGCAGGGGTGAAATAAATTCCCAAGGGGACCCCTACATGGACAAAAAAAAAGACTTCTGAGCCTGTGTTTTCCACTCTCAATGGACTGTGCTGGCAACAGCTATTAACTAAGTATGCGGTAATTAGACTGAATATGCATTTATTTAGGAATATTGTACATGCAAGCATAATGTGTTCTGAAATAATAAAGGCCAAAGCACTACATTTTAAACTCAAAGCCCAACTAACAAACATCTGAGACAATGCATTCATATGCCTTATTATTATCAAAGAAATGAGCAGTTACTAAAATTGTCACAGCTCATTTCTGCAAGTTGGTGCTGTGAGAATCTGGGGCTCAGAAGTTTCACAAGTTTCAATTCATTATTTCCAGCATTGAAATTATTCTGACATCTCTGAGACATCTGAGCAATGAAAATGATTTCCTCTCCAGTTATAGTCTAACTTCACTGATTAAAATAAAGTTGTCCAGATTTTAGTAGGAAAAAAAAAAAAAAGTGAAAACCTGGTGCAGTTTTATAGAGAACAAAGACAAATGTAAGACATACAGTCTGCCAAGGTAGCTCGGCAAAGGATTGCCTCCTATAAACAGGAAGTTCAACAAGTTGAGCTGGCATTTAGCGGAGGCCTTGGCCTTGGCAAAAGCAAACATGTATAGAAAGCAACACCCTGAAAAGAGATGAAAAATTTACTGGTACAAATAAATTGTGAAGAGGAGGCAGAATGATGTGCTAAAGCAAATTTTCTAGTTAAGCAAGGCCAAAGGATAAACTTGAAAAGGTAGAAAAGAAGGAAGCGTAATTGGAAAGAACTTCTTTTTATAAAAGAATCTAGGATTATATTGACACAGGTGAAATGTGGCGTGCTTTCAAACCACAGTCCGTGGTCACAATAAAATGCTTTGTTTGGACAAACAATTCTTACAACAAATCCTGTCACAGATGGTGAATATTCACATATATTCTCCTTTTATTTGGAAATAATTGATATTTACCGACATCAGACATGTTTATGAGCTGTGAGCCTTTTTCTCCATGGTCACAGAAGCTCATTGTGCAAGTACAGATAATTTATTTACAGATGAAGTATCTGAAAATAAACTATGAGGCTACACAGTTCAGACACACTACCTAAAATGATGTAGTTATAGTATAAGAATTACATCCTGC